AATTTATTCGGCACATCCCACCACCCCTCTACTTAGAAATCAGATATTCACTAAACATAATATTAATGTGTTATGCTAGTAACTTGTTAGTTGTATTATTTTTTTGAAATTTACAGTTACTCAAGAGTTGTTGGGGATTACAGTTACCTCAATTGAAGAAGCATTTAATCTATATAATGACTATGCTTTTAGATTGGGATTCAGTGTTAGGAAGGGCAAGCAGTACTATGTTTCCGGTAGTCAGACTATTAAAATGAAGAAATTCCACTGTGCAAAGAGTGGTTTTAAGGACAACAAAAAAAAAGATTCAAGGTCATATTCAAGGGTAGACACACGAACAGGATGTAATGCGTTTTGTCAGTTTGATTTGGCGTCTAATGGACAGTTGATTGTGACAAAACATGTAAAGGATCATAACCATGAGTTGTGTCCACCTTCTAACAGCTATCTTCTTCGGTCACACAGAAGTGTTGTTGATACCCAATTGGATTATTTAAAAAACTTGAAAAGGAGTGGGGTTGCATTGTCGGATGGCATTCGATTTTTGAAACACCAGTCTGGAGGTTCACCTTTGGTTGGATTTACACCAAGGGATGCTTATAATAGCCTGCATACAGATTCGATAAAGAGATTAGATGGGACCGATTCAAATTCACTAATTGAAATCTTTAGACAAAGGCAGTCGAATGAACCCGACTTTTTCTTTGATTTTGAATTAGATGAGGATGCAAGACTGTGTAATTTTTTTTGGAGGGATACAAGAATGAAGGAGGATTTTGTGTTGTTTGGTGATTTGGTAGTGCATGACACAACGTATCGTACTAATAAGTATGATATGATTTGTGGTCCCTTTGTTGGAATGAATCACCACTGTATGAATATAATGTTTGGGTGTGGGTTTTTATTGAACGAGAGGACTGACTCATTTGTTTGGTTGTTTAAAACATTTTTGCGAGCTATGGGTGGTAAGTGTCCACAAACAATCATGACCGATCAATGTGCTGCTATGTCTGCTGCAATTTCTCTGGTTTTCCCAAGTGCAAGGCACAGACTTTGTATTTGGCATATTGGAGAGAATTCAAAGAAACATATTAAATGTCTAAGGAGTCAAAACGGCTTTATGGAGTTATTTAATTTTCTGTTGAAGTACACAGACACAGAAGCTGAGTTTGAATTTTATTGGAATAGGTACATATGCTATTAAATTTATCATTTTATATATTTGATTTGCCATTCTTGCATTGTTTGTAGCATGTAGTAATTTGTACTAATAAAATGAAGTGTCACACAGTTTTACCTTTCATGTTAAGTTGGAAATTGTAGTGTTTAGAAAATGTACTTTATGGGTTATAATAATGTACCTTATGAATGCTGTAAATGTATCTTTGCAGCAGCAGCAATTTGATAAAAAAAATTTCCTTATTTTTCTAGTTGCATTTAAAACTTAGATCTTTTCCTTGTTCTCTATGTGTGATTCCTTTGTAGCATGTAGTAATTTGTACTAATAAAATGAAATGTCATACATTTTTACCTTTCATGTTAAGTTGGAAATTATAGTGTTTAGAAAATGTACTTTATGGGCTATAATAATGTACCTTATTAATGCTGAAAATGTATCTTTGCAGTCACACTCAGTTTTGTTATTTTCAGGTTGGTGACGAACTATAATTGCCATAAAAATGTTTGGTTAAACAAATTGTATGATATTAGGGAGAAGTGGTGCTCTGCTTTTAATAAAGATTACTTCTCTGGAGGTATCTTATCTTCTCAACGGAGTGAGACTACAAATCATTCAATTTCAAAAAGGTTATCTAAAACATCTGGGTTGTCTGATTTTTACAACTCTTTTGTTAATGTGGTTTCTGAGTGGAGGAGCAAAGAGAATGGGGAAGATGTGCGGTGTTCTCAAGGGTTGCCTACAATGGCATTGGATCATGTAAAACTTCTTTTACATGCTAGGAATGTATACACTATTGAGGCTTACTACTTGTTTGAGCAACAATTTTTGAAAGGTGCTGCTTGTCACCAAGAGAGTGTAGCGAGCAATGTTGATGAGCTTAAATATCACATATGGCGGCCGGATATTGACATTATTCGGCATGAGGTTTGTTTCAATATTAAGGATATGAACATATGTTGTACTTGCAAGTTTTTCTCCGAGATGGGTATTCTTTGTTCACATTGTTTGCGTATTTTGAACATTCATTGTGTTGAAAAAATTCCTGAGAAATATATTTGTAGAAGGTGGACAAAAAAGGTTGTTGAACACAGGATTATGGACATTGCATCTTCTTCTAGTATTTTGACAGTTGCTTCTCCAATTTGGGTTATAGATATGGGTAGAAAATGGCAAAGGTTAGTTCTATCAAGTCAAGACAATTGCAAAGCTCGACAAGTATGTGAAAACCTTATTGAAGATGGAAGAAGAAGGATTGAAGGTGAGGTTGGTCCTATTTGCTTTGATGATTTGGAAAGATCTATGCGAAGTAATGCTATACAAAATCCAGAACGAAGCGGTGTGAAAGGCGATCGTAATCGAAGGCCAGTTAGTACAGTACAAAAAAAGTATAATCAAGCAAGTGGCCGAAAAAATTATGCAAAAAGAGTTGAATCTAACACAAAGGCTGCCGTCCAATCTTCTATGCAGGAAGTTGTGTCTAATATTGTTGGCAGTGGGTATCTTGTTCATCCTAATGACACTACTAGTTCAGAATTGATTTGTGTTAGGTCTAAGTCTCAAAACAATTCAAATGATAATTAGGAGTTGTACTGGAATTTTGTTTACTTATATATGCACTTCACAGATTATGAATTGGTTTTATATTGTGTGAGTTATTTACAGATTATGAATTGGTTTTATATTCTGTGAGTTTTTAAAGGAAATATTTGCACTTGACAGATTATGAACATTTTTGATTTTATGCATTAATAAAATGTTTTCTTATTTGGTAATGTTCAGTGGGTTAAAATAATGTACCTTGTGCTCTAAAATAATGTACCCTATTTGTTAACAAAATGTATCATTGCAGTCTTGATTTTGAGTAATGTACTCTATGGGTTAGAATAATGTACCTTGTGCTCTAAAATAATGTACCCTATGAGTTATCAAAATGTATCTTAGTTAAGGTCACATGTTCATGAATTGATCACCACTTAGAGTCTTAGAGATGACGGGTGGTATACTCCTCAACCCCAACCCCCGTCCACGCCACCATGGAAAATTAGGGGAGGGGTTCGTTGGTAAAACGAACTATTATTTTATATTTTTAAAACATATTTTAATAATTTTTAAATTTGACTTTTAATTTTATGTTACTTTTTATAGTTTCTACAAACATATTTTTGATTTTATGCATTAATAAAATGTTTTCTTATTTGGTAATGTTCAGTGGGTTAAAATAATGTACCTTGTGCTCTAAAATAATGTACTCTATTTGTTAACAAAATGTATCCTTGCAGTCTTGATTTTGAGTAATGTACTCTATGGGTTAGAATAATGTACCTTGTGCTCTAAAATAATGTACCCTATGAGTTATCAAAATGTATCTTAGTTAAGGTCACATGTTCATGAATTGATCACCACTTAGAGTCTTAGAGATGACGGGTGGTATATTCATCAACCCCAACCCCGTCCACGCCACCATGGGAAATTAGGGGAGGGGTTCGTTGGTAAAACGAACTATTATTTTATATTTTTAAAACATATTTTAATAATTTTTAAATTTGACTTTTAATTTTATGTTACTTTTTATAGTTTCTAAAAACATATTTTTGATTTTATGCATTAATAAAATGTTTTCTTATTTGGTAATGTTCAGTGGGTTAAAATAATGTACCTTGTGCTCTAAAATAATGTACCCTATTTGTTAACAAAATGTATCCTTGCAGTCTTGATTTTGAGTAATGTACTCTATGGGTTAGAATAATGTACCTTGTGCTCTAAAATAATGTACCCTATGAGTTATCAAAATGTATCTTAGTTAAGGTCACATGTTCATGAATTGATCACCACTTAGAGTCTTAGAGATGACGGGTGGTATACTCCTCAACCCCAACCCCCGTCCACGCCACCATGGAAAATTAGGGGAGGGGTTCGTTGGTAAAACGAACTATTATTTTATATTTTCAAAACATATTTTAATAATTTTTAAATTTGACTTTTAATTTTATGTTATTTTTTATAGTTTCTAAAAACATATTTTTGATTTTATGCATTAATAAAATGTTTTCTTATTTGGTAATGTATTCAGTGGATTAAAATAATGTACCTTGTGCTCTAAAATAATGTACCCTATGTGTTAACAAAATGTATCATTGCAGTTGTAGTCACTTGAATTTTGGTAATGTACTATGTGAGTTAGAATAATGCACCATATGAGTAACTCCACAATAGCTTCTACTAATTGAGCAATTAACTCCACAATGAAAAGCAATTAACTTAAAAGCAACTCCCTAAAAAGCAATTAACACATAAACAATTTCAGCATATCTTGATATCACTAGCTAGCACCCAATTCAGCACCATCTTTGAATTGTTCAAACAAAAATTTCATCTAACACAAAAACCAACAATATTCATCTAACATTTTAGAACCATCAATTACAATGATCATTGTCTACTTATAAAGATTACGGGCTGCCTGTAGTATGGATTGTTTGTGCTCATTCATTGGTAAAAATAATATGTCGGCAGCATATTTTGCCCTCAAAGATGTCAAGAATATTGCCTGCATGTATATTCAACCAAAATGGCAGTTATATAAGTCCAATTAGGTATTTATAAAAATGAAAAACATGTACTTTAAATCACAGTACTTACATTTGCAGGTGTTCTGTTAAATCCAGATTCCCAATTCGGTCCATTACCCTTAAAGGTCTGCATATGACGCATGCAATAAACTCCACAATCAGTAACATTAGTGGCATTTTTCCAAGACATCTTCACCAATTCATGGTTAAACACATCATCCTCATCATCATGCTTTGTCATTTTGTTTAAAAAAGTTGTGATCCTTTTAAATTTGCAATACTCTTTGAATGCATTAACCTGCACATTAGTTAATGTTCATTATAATATATCAAGTACCTAACAGTATTCAATTTAAACTCATAACAATCTTAGATTTTGCAACTTACTAGGTTTTGATCACAATTATCATATCTTTGTAGAAAGTTGGTATTCTTGCCCAGTGTTCTATTGTCAACTACTTGGACAACCCTTTTCTTGAAGTTCAAGCACATGATGAAGTAGTGATGATAGCGTATAACAGGGAAGAAAACCTAAATACATATGATTTTAGAAGTATATCCAATGAGTGTATATAAAATGAATTTCACATAATTTATTAATTTATAATATTATGCATGATAAATTACCAGTTCAGCATCAGAGATGTCAATGTTAGAGGCCAATTTAATCTCATAATCCAAAGATCCATTGAATCGTCTTTGTTTTTCCTCTGCAGAGAATTCTATTTTCCGTTCAGTAGCATCATCAATTTCCATCTGAACACAAAATTATATTACTAAGTAAACATATTACACCATCAAATTCTGTATTATATACACCAAAGCTTTATGTACACAAATAATGTACTCTGTGAACAGAAATAATGTACCCTGTGAACAAGAATAATGTACTTTGTGCAGAAAAACTAATAATCAATAAGAACTTGCATTATCAATTTTCTTTTTTAATATAAGAGAAAGTTCAAGCACTTACAAAAGGATTGGTGGTGAAGTAGATGCATTTTGGTTCACCCATTCCACGAGTGATATTTTCATAATTCATTCTTAAGCTCCAAACATCTATAATGGTCTTCTCTACTTCACCATCCCGTAGAGTCAAGAACTGGTCCCTTGCAATGTGGTACCTTTTATACCTAAACAGTGTTTCACTGCAAGAAAAATAACTTTTTAACACATATTAAAGACAAACATTAGTATTAAACATAATTAAAGTGAAAACCTACTCTATTGGATGTTGAATAGACGGTTCCACGAATGCAAAATCAGACAACATCTTCTCTTTCGCAGAGACAAAGGAGAGCTTTTCATTGTTTTTCGTCCAATATGGAGACCTCAATCGCAATGGAACATTTTTCAATTTTCTTTTCTCTCTCTCCCCATGTTGGACATTCTCCCTCTCTGATTCCTCAAGTGCACTGCCACATAAAAATAATGTACCCTACTCATTAAAATAATGTACATAGTGACCAGAAATAATGTATCTTAATCAGAAACACAACTTTTAGAGTTTAACTTACATGTCAAACAATGTTTGTTCCTTTTCTGTGCTTCTTTCCTCACCAGGGAGTGTAGTAGTTGTTTCGTTTGGTTTTTGAATATCCGGGGGGGTAGGTGTTAACAAATTGAAGCGTGGTGGTGAAAATGTTTCAGGATTAATAGGTTCTTCGGTGATTGTAGTGGCCTTTTCCAATGCTTCCATTGCTGCCTTTTCCAATGATGCAACTGCTGCAAGAAAGCTCTCGCTACTGAAGATTGGATCATCATCCAATAATGTCGAAGTCTTGTCAGGCTGGGAAGTTGAAGCAATGTTCAGCATATTAGACATCTTGCTAAAAGTCTTCTTTATAATTTCTTGTCCGGTGTTTTTGCTCCCAACTTCAGCCATAACTTCCCCAAATTCAACTATGGCTGCAGTCAATTTCTTCATTCCCATAGATATCTTCTCTACATCACTCATTTTAGTTTTATCACCAACTGCCTGTGCCTCCACCCCATCCCCAACAATGTTGTTTTCAATCTCAGCAACCGATTTCCTAACTCTATCCAAGACTTTTCCCCTGCCATACCCACCAGAATTCTTTTCATCTGCTAATCTTTTTTGGACCATATCCATTGTCCAAACTGATATCGCAGGGTATTTCCTTGGGATTTGCTGCCCTTTAAATTGCATCCTATCAAGGTATGAAACCTAAATAAAATAAAATAAAAAAAGTTAGTATGAAAGCCAAAAATGCATTAATAGAATAAGCAACATAAATTGAATTAAAGGTATTACCATCAAGAAGACCAAGGGTCCAGTGAAGAATGTACTTCTTGCCTTCTTCCATTTCTCCACTGTTGTAGTAAGACTATTAAAAATGTACCTACACCAATTCAAATTCTTGATGTTTTTCACGTCTATCAATGAGTACAAAATTTTGAAGTTTGATGTCCAATTAGCGTGGCCCTTGAACAAACTAGAAACAACAAACACCACAAAATCCCTTTTGAACATGTCCCCGTGGTCTTTCTTCTCAACTATACCATGGCCAAGTCTTTTCACCAATGGAGAACAATTGTCTAATTCCCAGCGTGTTCTCCATTCCTCCAACAAGGTTTTGTATTCTTCAGTTGCATTTGAGTTGTTCCCTTCAACAACTTCAACCTCACCCTTGGGGAGACCTAATGTGCTCTCCACATCATCCTCTGTAAGCTCCATCTTTGCACTCTCCAACATTAGGGAACAACTACAAACATCATAGTTTTCTACCAAATATGTATTTAGTGTATTGTCCATGCTGGACAATCTAAGCTCGAGTAATGATCCAAACCCAATCTCTTTAATCGCATTTTTTTGTTCATCACTGAGATTTGCTACCATTTTGTTAAACTCCATTGGTGACATCCTAGTCTTGAGCTGAATTTTCTTTGGAGCCTTTTCTTTCTTTACAGTCCTATTAGTGGCCTTTTCTTTATTTCCGTCTTCTTCATTACTGGGAGATCTTTTCCTTTTCCGATAGGTTTTGGTAACCTCTTTTAATGATAAATCTACTTCTTGGCTAGACATAGTTGCTGCAAGTAAAATGTTAGTTAAGGGAATAAATCCAGCGATGCTCTATTCACTACAAAATGTACAAAATAAATCATGCATAAAAAGAGGGTACCCTGTGTATTAAAATAATGTACCTAACGAACAGATATAATGTACCTAACGAACAGACTAAATAGCATTTTCATTTCCCTATGATCAAGATTCTGGTTGTCTATTTCTGATGTTGTTATAAATGATCATTTGACTTCCTATTTAGAAGATTTAAGCACAGTTTACATACAATAAGTAGTTAACATTCTGCATAGAAAGACAACAAAATGTATTTTGAAGCTCAAATACATTTATACAATTTCTATCTGCAAATTTAAATAGTGATACGGAGTACTATTTAAGGTCCTAAAATACAATTGTTCTACTGAGAATTTCAAATTACACTCACATTTTCCTTATTATTTCATAGTCCTTATATCCGTAAGGGCAGCCATACATCTATAACATTTTATCAACCATAATTTTGAAAGGTAAAGTCATAATTTATACAAAGCACTCCCTATATAAGAAATAATAACCTTATCAAACTATCAGTAATACAAATGCAGATGGGTGCAATCAAGAAACTTCCTTACAGTCTGTTGGTAATCAAATGGCAAGAGTATAGCAAATGTGATTGGCTGTCAAACCAACGCTGGTGCTTATACCAGCATAATCATGTAAATATTGAATTTCAAGCTGTCATGACAAGGAAGCAAGTAAGAAACATAAAAATGAAACTAACACTCAAAAAAGCATAAAGACAAGTATGGTTACTTCAATCCTGTCATGGAAAACTTGATGAAAACCAAAAAATAAGAGCTACTTGCCTTTCCCGATCTTTGATCAGGAACTCTGAAGTTTAAAATGGTCTTCAAACCAGGAACAGGTTCATTAACTGTGATAGTTGTAAAAAGCTGAAATTGGAAAGACAAAACAATTAGAGGACGTAATTTCCAATGTGTCTCAACTGCCAACCAGTAGAAAGCATACTAACATGCAAGAACTACAAATTAGCTATCTAGATCATGATAACTCTATAGGTTCATAATCTTTGCTACTGTTTGTTATTGATGTACAGAAAGACTTCACATAATACACAGGTTGCAGTGATCATTCAATACCCAGAATTCTGCCCCAAGTTATGAGCAAATAAGAAAAAAATTTGAATATTTCTAAACTAAAAAGGATAAAGGAAATATAAGAATAATGAACATTTCTACGACATCATACACTGAACTACTAACAATGGAAATAAGGAGGTAAAATGGCTAGATAACATCCAAGGAAGGTATTGATTTTTCTCTTCAGCTGAGATAAGTAGCTTGAAGTCTTGAACACCCTTAATATTTCTAGACTGCATACCATGTTGTACAACAGAAATTCCCAAAACTAATGTTAGAAGGTTGTTAGAGGAGTTCTCCTAGCTAGGCATTTGAAATTTGAAATAAGTGGTTGGGGTTTCCTATTAGCTTGTATATAAGTGTAGGTTTCCCTGTACTCATTCATTCACTGTATTTCTCTATCTCAATATACACTTCACTATTTAGAGTTCAACAACTAATGCAAAAGCTAGACGCAAGTACACACAATTGAGCTACGTACAGATAACTAGAAGATCATGAGAAAACAATAGGCATCACTAAATCAGGCGTAAATGGGGAGCTCACATTAGAATTCGTGTCCACTTTAATATCAGTGGTGATATTCTTGTTCTTCAACTGTGTGTTGACATCTGCTACAAAGAAATCCCCTTTCTTTGATCCAGATGAAGTAATAGCCTAGAAAATAAAGTGAAGAAAGCATTAATTTGTGTGTAAGCACTTCGCAACAAGAGGTTAGAATATAAGTGATTATCTACAAATTATACATACATGAGCAAATGAAAATATTTTAAATATAAAATATACACCTCTTCATGGACACAAAATGGATCCAAACCCTCTAAACAAGTGCATGGAAGTAGATGAGTACATAAGAAACATCAACTATGAGTTAAACCAGCCAATCCAAAGCAATTTTACTTGTAGCTACATAAAGAACTACATTAATCATGCTCATTATAGAAAGATTGCTGGGGATAATACCCCTGGCACATCAAGGCCTAGTCAGACCAAAAGCCCAAATGATTTATCTGCCCAAGTTAGCCCTATTTAAGATCCAACTTCCATGGTGTAACTCTTCTTTTCTCTTCACCCTCTTCATAAGTAATGGAGCTCAAGACTTTCAAACAAGCTCAATAATGTAAATGCATTAATACACAAGCATACCGGAATCCTTCACCTTGGCTTAGCCCAGAAAAGCTCATGGTTTTTCTCTTACATCTTTCCATGTTAAAGTCATATCTTTGTGTACACTATTACTTATCTACAATTCTTGTAAGTTGGGTTGGGCCTATAGGGTCTTTAAACAGCAAAGAAGATGAGTACAACAGACAGCAAGAGCCAGAAGACTTAAAAAGAAATGTCACTAAACACAGAAATCACAACATGTCTCCAGTCCTACTGCATTTTACTTTAACTCGTATACAGAATAAATACACAGTGAGAAGCATGTTTACCAGTTTTTCAAAACTCAACACTTATGTTATCAATTCAATTATATCCAAACCGTAGCTAAAACAACGATAAGCACTCGGATCCGAGAAAAACGAAGAAAACTCACAACTCCGGTAGGAGAGTAGGTAGTGATTGTGAACTTGTGGTCTGTCTGGTAATCTTTGTATAGAAGATCTAATTCAATCAAAACACACAAACATTAAAATATACGTAAATTAGCGCAAAAAAGCGGAAAAAACTGAAATCAACATTAAAATGTAAAATTCAAAAAACACCATATTGCATGCGAATTTATGGCAAGAGTATAGCAAATGGCACAGAGGCAGAGGACCTGAGGAACAAATCATCTTCTGCAAGGCCTAAGAGGTACAAGAAAATTGTCCACACTTGTTCATTTACTTTGCCTAATCATGTTGTTAATACTGGGTCTGAGATGTTTGAGCAAGATCAACAGGAAGTAGCCAAATGTCTGATGATGTTGTCTAGGGATTCTGGGAACTGGAATGGTGTTAGTTCATTTATGGAGTCTTCTGATAATAACTCTGTGGTTCTAGAAACTAAATCATCTTCTATTGACATGAAAACTCCTAAAATGGATGCCTCCAATAGAGAAAAGTCAAGATCAGGATCAAAGGACTACGATTATCGTGATTTTGGAGTGGCTTCAAATGCAGGGAAGCATGATTCAAGAAAGAAAAGCAAAGATAGCTCTTATGATCCTGAATACAAAACTGATTCCTATAAGAAGATAAAGCTCAGTTTTTCTGAGACTAAGAAGAAGAAGAAGTACGAGTGTTTGAACTGTAAGAAGATCTTTAGCTCTTATCAGGCTCTTGGTGGACACAGACCGTGCCATAAAAGAACTCTCGAGTCAAGATATGAGACTGGTGAGAACCGCCTGGATGTTGATACTACCTATAATAATAACATAAATGGTGGCAACCATAGGGAGTCTCTTGGTAGCAGAAAAGCAGCTGCTGAAGGTTCAGCTTGCTACTTGGGGACAAAGATTAAGGCCAAGAACGCAAAGGGCCACGAACGCAAAGGCCAAGATAGTGTCAGGAATGAATAAATACACAGCTACAAGTAAAACCCTAGGTAGTTGAAAATGTACCTAATCAGTAGATGGAGATGGCGTCAACGGTGTACAAGAAAGCTCTTGTGGCGTTGGTTTGTAGTAGCGCGCGCTGGAGGTGGCGTCGGAGACGGTGGAGATGCGCGAAGAAGCTGTTGAAGAAGCTGTCGGAGACGATGTAGAATTTTTTTTTTTTAAAGTTGTTTAACGGCGCCGTCTCTCCTTAAATGGAGAGACGGCGTCGTTTTGGACCATGGTTCAGCCAACTTGGCTGGACCATCAATAATTTGCCAGAAGAAGAGAATGGGAAGCCGCAAATGCGGCTTGGATTCCATGTGTCCGACTTTATGTTCTGTCAACCCGATCACCTTTTCCATTATTTGGGAATTGGGAGATGGAAGGAATCCACCTTCAATACTCCCCATAAAATATTGGTCCTCCCCAACTTAGGAATCATTTCATGCCATTATTGTGTAAACCAGGATGCATATAGTTGTATGAAATATGCTATCAAATAATGTACATTCAATACATAAATAATGTATTTTTAATATATTAAAAATATAGATTATTTATATAATATATAATACACGAATAATCTACTTTCAATATATTAAAATATACTTTTTGTTATGATCCATACAATAATTTGCTCATTTCCTGCCGGACGCCATCAACGCCATCAACTCCTTCCAATATTCCAACAAATTATGCAGTTTCTCAATTCAAATATTATGAATAAAATAAGCATTAAGTTAGTTTGAACCAATAATTAATCTAGTCCCATGATGTTGAAAATACAGGTTCATACTAAATGCAAGTCTCAAGTTAAACTAGTTTTATAATGGCGAGAATACTGAATGCGGTGGACTATCGAGTGCTTATGTGGTGGAAAAGCACCAATCCAAAAAATTAAAGAAAAGGTGAATGATCAGGTGTATTGTCCTCTCGTAGAAGCAAAGGAGAGCTTCAGTTAGAAATGGTGGTTGGATAATTTATTTGCTTTTATTGGGGGAAGTTATAAAAGAGGAGCCACCAAAACCGGCAGAAAATACTTAAAGTCACATGTAAATAGTATAATCATAGTGACCGTTCTTGGATGCTGTTCACGTGTTTCATGTTCGGCGGCCTACCGTTACCGGAGAAACATCAAATTCATGAGACAAAGATTTCTCAATACTGCAAACAATTTTAAGAATCACAATGAAGCATTACTAAAGAATTCACACAAGTACTCAACTGTTCTGCTCACAAGAAAATTTACAGTTTTAAGCATTCAACCATTCCAAGCATGGGCACAGACCCCAGCAAAATCTCGAAGGGTAGTCGTCGCACAGGTACACCTCCATGCTGACTCCAATGATGTAGAAACTGAATGAGCGTTTGTGGTGAGTCATGGTCACACGGGTCACTGGAACCACCGAGATGGTATGCCTTTCGCATATGACCCTCGCGGTTTGTGGCACATCAGCCCTCTCTGCAATGACCTCAGAAGAAAACTTGTTGAGGAAATATGAATCCGCGAAATAGGCAGGCGTGCACTGGTGCGCTTGGTTATTGCATAGCTGGACTCCTTTAGCTTTGTGGAAGACGTCGTCTGGAACCGAGGCTGCTCCACTTGTAGCATTCACTTTTCGCGTTGAGAGTGTCTTCCTGCAAAAGATTAAAGTTCCATTTTTTTCAAAGCGACAATATATTATGTGCATTAAAGCCACCGGATTTATCGGTTTTGAGTTTTATATACTTCAGCAACAATCATAAGTAAAGACCATTACTTTTACAAACATGTTTCTACTTTGGAAATCAAACATTTAATGCAGCAAAGGTCGTAGGGTGTATAGTTATTGGTCAAATATGTCATATATGCACTTTCAACTACACTATTTAAAACCAAAGTTCAACAAATTAGTAGTAGGTTAAAAGACAAATATACCTACCATCTGACAATAGCTACTTTGTATGACAAAAATGAGCCACCTCCCTTGCAAGTCTGACATTTGATTAGACCACGGGACTCGCAATTGGCACAAGGAAGTTTCCCATGACCTTTACAATTTCGACATCTGTAATGAAATAAGGAAATAAATCAGCTAATTTACTAACTAGACAAATTCCAGTCATGGCTCAAGTTGTAAACCAGAAAGCCTCTATCAAGGGCACAGCTAGTAAGCCACCAGTTAATTATGCTTTGTCACGAGTCACTCATGACACAAATGCTGTGAAAGATGAGGTATATGATCTATGGAGAGAGAGAGAGAGAGAGAGAGAGGAAGAGGGATTAATAAAGACAACATTTGAAACCAGTGGTAGAAGAAAGGAGCTTACATTATGTCAGATCCATCTTTGTATGCAAGTAGTCCTCTCCCATAGCAAGTAGGACACTTAGACATTTGGCCCACATTGTAGAATCCAGGGTCATGATCTGCATTACAATTGGGACAGACTACACTTCCTAGTCCACGACAACCTATAAAGCCAAAAGTTAACATCAAGGAATGTGACGATTGATTTTTTACTTTTTTTATTAAAAAGCAAAAACTAAAAGATAATGAAATAGGATGGCAAGAAAGAGGGAGAGAGTAACTAGAGTGACTGCCTGAGAATATATAATAATAATAATATATCAAGTATCTGGAACATATAAAGAATGATAATGGCCCAAACACGAAACATATGGCTAATATGGTCATCACCTGGGCATTTGTCAATCTTTTCAGAATGAGGAACTCTTGTCCGCGACTCTTTGTGAGGTATAAACAAGACGGGAAATTCAGACCTTAAATCCAATTCCCATATTCCAGGTTCAGGTTCAGGTTTTTTATCCTTTCCTTCAATATTGCCGCCAGAGTACGGCTCTGTTTCAGTGATCATTTCCCTCTCTTCTATAAAAGTATCGAGAGTTCCCACATATACATTGCAGTCCTCAACTGCATGGATTTTCCAGGTTCGAGCTGGACGGCTTCCCCAACACCAATGATGACCAACATGGTCTACAAGCAACTTCCGTATCTCTACCTCATCTAGCACTTGCCTGACACTCATTATTAAAGGAAATGTTAGATCCAGATATTACCAAAATGTTAATTCAAAGAAACCCATAAGATGCCAGAGGTGGCCACTTCATCCTTACCTCCGATCACCACCAGCAGCTCTGGCTACTTCCCCATAATATCCAACGTGATAGTTGAACCCCGGCTCTGCAGTAAAATGACTAATTTATGGTTCATAAAAGTATAACAGTATAACTTACAAGTTAAATGCAAATTCAAAACAGCACTTTGTAGTTTTTTAAATTTGAAATGTGCTATCAGCTTTTTTTTTTTTTTTTTTTTTTTTTAAACCTAATTTGAGATGCAAATTCAAGAAAGCACTAGTAATTGTCCAAAGTTGGTCTCACATGATGAACTGCAAAACTCTCAAGAGTCAAGAATAGGGATCTTCAAATAAACCGAGAAAAAGTAACCAATAAAAGGTAGAAAGACAATATCATACTAGTGTAGAACAACTCATACAACAAATTAATCTATTGCATCAATCATCAGATAAATCATAGGTGACAAATGACATATTTAATACGGAGTATTGTTCAAGTATAATTTAATAAGAAAAGATTCAATATGTTAGATTCAACAAGTAATGATCAATTACAATAGCAAATTCATAAACTGACCGAAAAATTATTGCCTCTATCATAATCAACAATGAAATCACAAAAAACCAATGCTAATGACCAAATGCAGAAAACCAATTTAGAAATTGTAAATCCAAACATGAATTCAACAATCTAAGCAAATTTGAAGGAAAAATTACCATGGGGTTGGGATTGATAGGACTGGGGAGAGCTGACCAAGGGGGCATGGAGGCTAGGTGGGTAGGGACTGGAAGCGGCGGCGGCGGCGGATCGAATCTCATCGACGCTGACCTCCGTTCCGGCCAGCGAAGCCGTTGGAATTACAGAACCCGCCCCGCCGACGTACTGATACGACGAATTCCATCTTCCACTCCCTCCGCCTTGGTTTTCCGCTTTTCCAATTCAAGACAACACACCATCAGAGAATGAATTCTACTAAATGAAAACAAAAATTCAAAGAAATTTAACCTGATAGCAGTGGCTCCTCCATGATTGACATGCCGAACTGAAGAAGATATGCGCTCTGTTAACTCCACGTGTATGGTGTATATATATATATACACCCTGACCCAACGCGTCCGCGTAGAAATGGATTTGCCAACTTCGCCTTAATCAAGAAGGAAAGAAATAAACAAAGAAATTGTTAAATGTTCAGACCGACTGCGAAGACTTAACCCGCTTGTTTTGCCAACAATACTCATAACTGTCAAGATTTTTTTGAGTATACATCTTAAGTCATTTCTGATTAAAATTCTTGATAAATAATTTCTTAACATATGCCTAAATGAAACATTACACAAATATTAGTCCTTTCAAGCATCATAACAAAATAACATAAATAAATTTGTATGGTTGATGTTCAATAGAATTAATTTCACTTTTGGTCCCACGACTTTTGAGTTCTTACACTTTTGGTGCACAACTTTAAATTTTTTCAATTTTGGTGCCTAACTTTGTTATTTTTATCAGTTTAGGTCCTTCTAGCCAAATTGACGATAAAATATTTCCAGATTTTTATATTTTAGGGGCAAAATCGTCATCCCATGGAAAGATCTTCAATATTTAAACAAAAGAAAAATCATATTAAGAGGAAAAGAAGAGTTTGCCAATGGTCGAAACTATAAATCCCATAGATCTGTTTGGTTTCTGCCCATCTTCCCCATTATTCTCATCATCAAACACCTATAGATATGATTTTACGGTGATTTTGTTTAGATATTGAAGATGTTTCCTTGGGATGACGATTTTACCCCTAACAATATAAAATCCAACAACATTTCGCTGTCAATTTGGCCGAAAAGACCAAAATTGATAAAAATAACAAAGTTAGGCACCAAAATTAAAAAATTTTAAAGTTGTGCACCAAAAGTGATAGAACATCAAAAGTCGTGGGACCAAAAGTGAAATTAATTCATGTTCAATATATAGTGATTGTTAAATTAAATTTCACTTTTAATTGTTATGTGACATTCTTGACTTTCACTTAAATTTCTATTTAAATTTTTATCATTCAATTTAAAAAAAGCGGGAGCATGCAATTGTTTTATTTTCTCATAAACTCTTTTTAATTGAGGTAACACAGAACTTAAAAAACTAAAATCCCATTTAGTAAAATAATTAATCTATCAACTTATTTTTAACTTGTTTGACAACTGTTAGAAATTTGACTTGATTAAACAATTAATATAAGCATTTGATTAATTAATTTTTTATAACAGCTTATTGTTCCAAACTGGTAACATTTCCGGTAACTTTTAAAAAAAGTCATTTTGTATATAATCAATTATCAACTAACAACTAATTTATCAAATATCTTTCTACAATTAGTTAATGCTATCAACTAGTCAAACCCACTAACTCAATCAGCTAACTGCTATTTACCAAACATCCCATAAATGTAACAATATTACAATAATTAAAAAGACAAAAACTATAGAATTTGCTTGAGAATGTCATGTACAATAATAAATTATGTGTTGTGTGGTAAAATATATTGAATGTAAGAGAAATGCCACTTTTCATCCTTCAATTAGATTTATCTATACCAAAAATAAAAAGGTTAATGACTGCCCTTAAACAGCAATATATATGCAATGCGAGTAAGTTGTCCAGAAGGAAATGGGGATTTATTTGTAGCTCAGCTCAGCGCATATTGTTAAAAAGATAGGAATACAAGTTGGTGGCTCTTCCAGATCATATTCACAAGCAAAGAAATGCCGAATTTCACTAAAACATGAGACTGAGAGAGAGAGAGAACTGAGAACTAGCTTTTTGACAATTTACCAAATGGCTAATGTAAAATGCTGCAAGAACTAATATACATGTGGTTCGGTTCTATCGCTAATTCCTGCAATTTGTAAAACTGTAAAGCTAAAACAACTCCAGCCCCAACTTCCACCACATGCCAATCCTATAATGCTCAAGTCACCAACATAAAGCACCATGTGTGTTGACCAGACCCATAGCTAAACTATAAGCCAACCGACAATTGCAACTCTAAATATGAAACCCGTCTGTCTAGTTACTAGTATCCGCTTGTTTATGACTTACTACCTTCTCCGTGCTTGACCTTTGCTTTCAATTTGGATCCTGTCTGCATACATTGGCAAACAAATAATCTCACGGATCTCAGCTAACAAAATGTCCTCCGTGATATTGTCGGTGATACTTCTCAAAACCTGTTTCATTCACAAGCCATGGTACAACTCATCACAATGCTAAACAACCAACAATACAAATGCTGATTATCAATTTATCTCACATTTTTATCCCATTTTCCTTTTCTAATGTAATAAGCATGAGGTTGGCGGTTCGATCCCCACCCATGTGAATGGAGCAAACCATTTGGCCAGTCCCCTACCACTTAGTGTGCTGACCGTAGGAACGGGGGATTAGTCTTCTGGCTATCGGCTGGAGGGATACCTTTGGGCAACCAAAAGAGAAGGCAACATTGCTGCATTTTCATTGTTCCACAATCTTATTTTCTCTTGAAGAGCAATTCTTCCCAAGCAAGAGGAAGGAAATTTGAAATCAACTATTGTTCTAAAATTCCTTTTTTTTTTTTTTTTTTTTTGGGTACGCCTTGCTCATAAATTCTAGGCAGTGCCAAGAAGTGTGCTAGAAGTTTCTTTACCATTTTTTGGCAAGTACACCAGGGACCAGTTTTAATTTGTATAAATAGCCAATCGGGGTTGGTGCTTATAAGATGTTAGCAAGAGCGAGAGACAGACGATACAGCAAGAGATACCATTATTATCTCATTCACAATTGATGCAACATAAAAATAGGAATTTAAGATATACCTTTCGATATGTGTTGAAGTCATTCGGTGTTCCTTTATCTACCCTAACCCTCATGCACGTCCACACTTGATTATCAGAATCCCAAGAGCATTCAATAATTTTACCCGAGAGCTCTGATGGATCATAAGAATCTGTAATATTTAAGAGGTGGTTAAAAGGACTATTTTGAAGAAAGGCACATCAAAAATTCAGAGAAACAAAAAGCATATAAACTCAAATTAGTGACATAAGCCAACCAATACAAGTCACAACAGATACACATACAGAGTAGAATTTATACCAAACCAAACTAAATCCCATATCAAATACCCTATTTAACTATTAAATATATACCAACCCTATTTTCACAATTACCCATGACAAGGAAAGGAAGAAACAAGTTCAACGAAAAAGTGAACACACTTCCCATGTAGACATGCAGTATCTGATTTCACAAACAGTCTTTTAAGGCAGTTATCTTTTGGCATCCCATAAGACAAACACTGAATCCAAACAATAAAAAGGCAGAAACGTAAGCATAGAGAGCAAATTCTACAATTATGTAGTTTTCTTCAGTTTCATCCAATGTCAATAATGCAACCAAATGCGTCCAACAAAGTAAAAAATTAACATTTCCATCTCCAATGATTTGATGATGATAAAACATAAAATCACGGAGATACTTTATCAGATTAAAAAATATAAAATCTGTGGAAACAATGTGAAATGTAAGTCAAACTGATATGAAATTCCTTTTTTTACTAGTTTTACATAACAAGAGTATCCCCCACCATGTATCTGTGTGCTAGAAGTACTCATATCACAAGATTGAATGCCAAATGAAGAAGTAAAAATCGCTAACCTGGGAATATGACCCTGCTCCCATCCATCAGTTTCTTCTTTCCTCGTTCATTTAGATAAAGTAGCTCTCGATCATCAAGCACCTGCCAGCCAAGGGGAAGAATGATGATTCAAAATTGATAACATGAATATGTATCAAAGTATAATTGGCCTGGTGATGAAGGTAAAATACCTCAAAGAGGAAATCAACAGAGTTCATCTCTGGGTATTTCCACTTCAAGAGGCCCTCATGGGTCCTCGTAACGTAAGGATCATCCCAACCCTGTTACAGAAGTTAAAAAACATAGAACAAGCTAAGATCTAAAAACGGAGAGTAAGAATTTATATAGATAAGTGTTACAAGTTAGTCACTAAAAAGTAAAAACATCATAACTACATTAAGGCATGTAAAACCATCATGCCAAACCTCAATGGGAGGATAATATAAATGAATACAATTTTTTAATAAGTGAACATTCTTCAGCCACAATTGACTGAAATATGGCATAAAAAACAATGAATAAGTAACTCTATGTAAAATTTGGTTTTAGAATGCTATCGAGCCATTATATCATGAGAGTTGTCCTAATAACCTGAAAAATGAGACCATCTGCATCATGTGAAAGTTTTGGGATGAATTCCTTCAAAACTTTTGTGACAGCAGAAAGGAGCCAAAAATCCTTCCTTCTAACCTGGCAAGCTTTGGGAGATCAGTAGACATTTCAGCAAGAAAATATCACAAAACGTGAAATATCTGCCTAGAGCTCATAAAACATACCCTGAAGGGTTCCAATTCATATCTGTAATATGGATTTTTACTCTGGTATATATGACATCGTTCATTATTTCGAGGTTCAATCACTTCTTTATCAATCATTTTCCATCGCTCATGAAAGGGCCGCTGTGCCAAATACAGAGAAGCAGACACTGTCAGTAGTCCAAACACTGATAAACAAAAACAAAATTACATAATAGACACAAACAGTCATCAAGGCTAGCAAATTTCAGTGCTAACACCCAAAGCATTTTTTTTTAACCTCAGAACACCGGAATGACAACAAAGCACCTGCACTGATCACACTAGGAAGTAAGAAATGTCAAATAATAGTTGTAAATAATAGATAAGGTGTTTATATTGTGAAAACAGGAACTCTAGCAAGTAATCAATAATTTCCTGGATTTTTTACCATAGCATCCTGTCTAGATTCCTCTTACCAAGTACAGGAGAATTAACTCCAACAAATTATAATTGACTACAGCAGCCAACAACTACATGGATCCTAGGTAAAATTATTGTAGATTTAGATGCATATCAACAGATGATGCATGTATCTACTGTTACACAGCTTCTATCTCCTGCATAAAACTGCAGCAGCATAAACAATTTTCCCTTTCCTGTAAAAATCATTACATAATCAAGGAGCCTAAATCATTGCCAGTAAATTATACAATTTCATGCATGCATTCCAGGCACATATACAGAAATATACAATTTTAATTTTCAGTCATAATATGCATAATAAAGACTTAAAAAAAAAATTCAAATGTGAAGTGCA